ATTCTTAGAGACCAAAATGGCAGATAAATCAAAGACCACTTTAAAGAAGAAAAAACTTAACAGTGCCTCACTCCTTAGCTACATAACTCATTACAGAATGGTCCAATAATGTATTGTTTTTGTAACATGATTTAGAGTCACACTCAAATTCTCTTTGACACTGGCAATGTTTCCTTACAGGCCCCAAATTGTTGAAAACATTCCCATTCTCTCTACCCTCTCAAGGAAGCTGGTTACCTTGGCTTTTCTTCCCCCTTGAAGTAATACATTTCTCAATGTATCTTCATGGTCATGTCTTTATCTGCTCACCAAGACTCTTTGGTTATATCAGGAGGATGACAGACACATGTGCGTGAGGGTAGGAGACAAGAAAAACTGTGACCCACACAATGAGCAAACGCCTGGGGGCCTGTGCAGCCTTTTGATGATTAAATATATTTATGTCCTTTTCTTCATCTGCAAAGTGTGGTGTTTGACTTTCTTATTCCATGCCTCCTCTAATTCTTGAGCATCATTGTCCTTCAAGATGATTAACCTCAATGAATAGACAAATTGGAACTGACTTGGACATCAGCAGCACAGAATGAAAGAGAATCAATTAAGAACATCCAGGTGGAGATAACCTAGAAAGAGAATTTTATAGAGATCGTGGAGGCAGAAAAATTGCATATGCCACTGCAGGAATGTGACCCAGTGAGATAAAAGAAAAGGAACCAAACATGATGCTGCGATGGTAAGCACTGGCAGTGAGAGTGAAGAAGCTATGAGTAACTGAGAAAAGACAAATAGTGAAGGCTTTTCTTGAGGAATTCAGCATTATGCTGCTTGATGGAATACAGGTTATGAACTCCAGTGTTCAGACAGCAGCTCAGAAGAGAAGCTAGGGAAGGACAGAGAGAGTAGGTGTGGTCATCACAGACATGACAGGTAAATAGTGACCTTGAATGACTCAGCAAGTGAGAGATCATAGGACTGTATGCCAAAAAGAGTTAACATAGATATGCAAGTGCTTAGGAAGTTACAAAGACTGGCAATTAAATCATCATTGATGACCACAAGGAGAAAAGTGGCAAGACAAAACAAACAACTATTCATGTGGTATTCTTATTGCTTTCTGTTCTTTTTGTTTAGAAACCATTACATTTTCATCATAGTCAACTTTAATGTGCCTTGCAGAGGCTTCAAAGACACTTAAAATACATACACATATATCATCCTCTACTCTTACATCCTGGTTAATGTTCCCTGGCCTTTTATAAATCTGTGTTTTATGGTGTTTGTCCTAATATTCAATGCAAAAGGTTATTGATGGTTTTATCACCAGTGTTGATTATGTACAATATTAGAAAATACTCTTAACAGTTTCGCCTGTTACAATGTAAATATTTTAAATGGTTGGTTCAATGTATTTTTTTTACATCTCAACATTCTTAGGTACTTCATATTAGATCAGGGTTTCTCAACAATGGTGATACTGATAATCTGAAGATCAATACTCCGTTTTACGCTTGATCTTAGTCAAAAGGCTGAGAAGTGATTAATATTTTATTTTAAAAGCACAGCAACCTACAGGGTATGTAGAAGCTTGTCTTGTCTCTCTATGCTATTTGCCAACAGCACCTCCACCTACAATTATGAGACTCAAAAATGTCTTCAGATACTGGTAAAAGTTCCTAAAGAGACAAAATCTCCTCCTAATTGTCCTTTGAACACCACCGTTTCAAATTGATAGGCTATAAGACACGCTACCCTACAGTATGGCAACTTGGTTTTTGAGAAAACCCCAGAAAAACGAAGTCCACTTCTCTGACTTTTTTCACATTTCTCTCTTAAATCAGGTCATGAAACAATTCTGCCTTCCTCTATATTATGCCATGAGAACCACCATTATAGAGATGCCCTCCCTATACAAAGAGAAAAAAAGAGCATTCTTGCCCTCTAAAACAGAAACACCAAGAAGAAACTGAAAGATGGATGTGGTGCGACACCCCTGTGCCTGTAATTGGAGCACTCTGGAAGGCGACAAGTTTGAGCCCTGCCTGGGAATTTAGTGACTTAGCAAGACAATGTCCTTTAAAAATTAAATAAAATGGAAATAAATAAACAGAAATGTAGTTTAGTATAAATGCCCTGAGGTCAATCCACGATACTGTGAAAAAATAAGATGGGAAAGGAGAAAGGGAAAAGGAGGGAAGGAAGAACAGGAGGAAATGGAGGGGAGGAAAGAGGGAAGAGGGAGAAGAGGGGATGGGAAGGCAAAGCCAAGGAAGAGGAAGGAGAAAAAGAGGGGAAGAGGCAAAAAGGAAGAGGAGGAACAAGAGCAACAACAACTGGTACCATCAGACCTTGCTGTGTTCTCCAGCATCTGTTACCAGTAGTACATACCCCCCCTTGTCTAATCACACTTACAAACAACTGTCTATTCTGCATTATGCCTGAGCATGAAAACACACAAGTTTTTATTTCTTGAGTTTTTGTTTCTGAGGGTAGCGGCCTTGTGTCAAATTTATATTGTACACCTTTGCATGCTTTTCTCTTGTTGATCTATTTTTTGCTGGAGGAGTCTCAGCCATTGTTATGGTTTGTGTCTAGTTGTCCCCCCAAAGCCTCATGCAGTCATGGGGTGAGGACTTCTAGAGTTTGTGTTAATTCATGATCCACTGGGATTATGTGTGATCCAAGACTGGGATTATGGGTTTTAGTACTGCTGGGATTACCCATAGGTGGGTAAATACTGGGAAGTACCCATAGGTGTGAGTACTTCCCCTACCCTGGGGCAGGTAATTTGCATTACAATGTAAGGTGGGAAGAGAAGCTAGCTGCTTGAGCTGCTGCTACCCCTCCCTTGCTCTCTTGCTCTTTGCCACCGCCATGAAAGGTTGCCCTCTGCTATGTGCTGCTCTGCGTTGGACCCAGCTGAGTATGGACTGAAACCTCCAGTAACTGTGAGCTAAATAAACCTTTCCTTCCTTCATTTTGTGTGTTGGGTATTTGTCCCAGCAACGAGAGAAGAGTAACTAAGACAGCCATAAATCCAGGGTGAGCAAAGAATCCCTTCTCCCCTGTGAAATGTGTCCTTTGCACACAAGCATGTGATTTGGGCTTTTCATTTTTAGAGAAAATGAGTAGAAATTTCTTTTAATACACAAATCTGTGCCATATGTTTGATCATATTCAAACCCTGAATTACATATTTTTACTGTTTATATTTCCTTTGTCATTATCTTCTGTTAATTTGAGTGTCAAGTCTTTTGTTAATGTCTAGTATTTGTGAGTCTGCTGTTATGTCTAGTATTTTTTCATGAGTTTCTTATTTCCAAATGGGAAGGTTACAATGATATCCATTTCCTAATGGTGATTGTGACCACTGGTTGTGATACATCAACTCCACTGGATTAAGGAACATCTAGAGATTAGTAGAATATTTCTGGGTACATTTGTGGGATATTTCTAGAGATGATTAGCTTAAAGATATGTGCGATGTAGATCCATTTGATACTCCTAATTAAGCACTTGTGAGATATAAGGAATTCAGTGACTCTACACAATGCTTTTAAACATTTTTAGATTACCAGGAAATATAGTAATGTTGGCTGCTCCTCTTGCCACTTCTGAACAAAGTAATAAAAGAAACTGTGCTCAAAGATTCCATTTCTAAGTTCCAGATATGCATGAACAACCTCAAGGGTTATACAGTGTGCTAAGGAAAATCTTATCTCCTGTGACCATAGAGCTGCCCTTGTCAAAAACCAAACATAAACATTCATCATGCAATTAGCTGAACTACAGCACAAGTTTAGCTCTCAGCCTTCAAGCATATCAGCAGGTAAGGCATGGTCACTGGACAGCAAAGGAGGGCATCCAGTAAACTGGGCAGAGGCATTTGGGAGGACCTAATAAAACTTAAGACATTGACAGCCAAGATATCCTTTCCCTCAGACTTTGTGGTGTTGACCTCTTCATCTCTGCCTGAGGAAATGAATCCTGCGAGAGGGAAAACAATAATATCTCTCTCTCTCTCTCTCTCTCTCTCTCTCTCTCTCTCTCTCTCTCTCTCTCTCTCTGATGCAGTTAGCAAGCAAGACAGTACCTGTGCTCCTTGGGACCCATTCTTACAACCCACTTTTGCTAGGTCAATAACCGTGTTCAAATCTTAGTAGGGTCCTGGAAGTGTGGTGGTACACTGCAGGACCTATGAGAAGGTGCACACTCCCCAAAGAACTTGAGTTTCCTGATTCTTACAAGCATATGTCCAGGGAGCACAATTGTGAATGGATTGTAAGGTTGTGGGGTAGCAGCAAATTTAGATCGAGCTAAAGTTCTTAAGCAGAGCTTCTGGGTGCAATGCGTGGTTTAAGGCATCAATAGAAGGGCTAGCAGTTTATTTGATCTGTTGGATGAGACATAGACCAAAAACTGACCCACTGTGAATGATCTGCTGCTTCCTGATCTTCCATGACTTACAGCTAAGGGAACTCAAAGTCTTAGGGAGATAGAAATCCTGGAGCAGGTTTGCCAGGTAAAATCTATTTATCCACCCTTGGGGGGAGGGGGTTGAGAAAATAATTTTACCCTTTACTAATACCTTAAGAATTGGAGAAAAAAATAAAAAGAGATGGGTTTATAGGGGCTGGCAAGATAGCTCAGCGGGGGCCAAGGAGTTAGCTCAGTAGAATAAGTGCTTGCCTGGCAAGCGCAAGGGCCTGAGTTCAATCCCCGGTTCTGCAAAAGAAAGAAACAAGAAAGAAAGAAAGAAAGAAAGAAAGAAAGAAAGAAAGAAAGAAAGAAAGAAAGAAAGAAAGAAAGAAAGCTCAGCGGTCTAAAGCACCTGCTTAAACAAGCTTAGGCAGGCACAGGGGACCGAGGTTTGATCCCAGGCACCACATGCTGCACCAGCCCTGCCCTTAAAAGAAAAAAAAAAAAGAAAAGAAAAGAATTGGATTTATGAGAGAAACACCAGCATCCTTGTAAAGCTGTCATTGCTTTTTTCCGTTTTCCAGAACTTACTGTGGGGACCACAACTACCCTAAATACAAGACGTATGATAAAGTCCCAGAGAGGCAGGCCCAGATGGTAGCACTCCACTGCAGAAAGCCAGCTGGGCAAACTTACTATAAGGGACAGCAAAGCCAGCCCAATGATTGGGATGACTTACCTATTAAGGCCTATGGTACTGGCTGCTGATGGTGTTCCCAGAAGGGAAATAGACAGGGGACTACTAAATATTTTCTGAATCTATATAAGCAGAAAACTGTAGTGGCAAATGAAGAAAAATCTACCTCCAATCATAACAAGACTGGAGCCCATTTAGAGGCCTAGAGCTCCCTGAAAGCGAGGAAGGCCAGGATCCTTGAGGAAGGAGGTCTTGGATTACCACAGAAATGTACTGCTCATTTTTCTCCCATACTTCCCCAACAGGACCTACAGTCTTTGATGGGGAACTGCCCTGGGCAAGAGGAAATAGACTTTTTAAGGACCATGGGACACCCATTCTGAAATACCTAATTCCAAGAATTCTAGAAACATTATCGTGGCTCTGGACCGTGAGAATAGGGGCCTGAGAAGGTCAGGTGATCTGTGGAGTTTCAGCCAAGGTTGGGCTCACAGGGGGCTCAGTGACTCCCTGGTGCCATTCTACTGTCATTTTCCCATGTCCAGAATGCATAATTGGGGTACATATACATCCTACTTGGCAGAATGTCCCCACTAGTCCTCTAACCTGTGGATTGCAGACATATATTCTATTTGACTCCTCAGTCCAAGTTATGAAAAATAATTATTTGGAATTTTTAAACCCATAGGAAACATGCTTTAAATCATCTGAAAGTTTACCTTTATTAAAGACAATTTGCTGCTATGTAGATTCAATTAAAATAATTTTCAAAACTTTTTATGCTCTTAATTTCTTTCACTCTTTAACAGCCTCTCCCACATCTTACAGTACACCCTTCTCAAGTTATGTGATGCTTTTGCTGTGTGTTGTGTCATGAATGACAGAAGAATTCAAATTATGCCCAATTTAAAAATAAGTAAATAAACTGTAAATAAAACACATGTTGTCTTCTTAACTAGGAATGAAAACGAATGTGATGTCACTTAATGTTAAAAATTCGAACTCTCCGGTAAAGATGGAAAAATTGCTTATTAGTTTCACATACTAAAAATAACATGAGAACTTTAACAGCATTTTAGCTATTATTTATTCAGCTACTTGACAGAAATCAGTCATCAGCTCTCAATGTAATCACAAGCTATCAGATGTAATCACAAGCAAACAAATGGAGCTTGCCACATAAAAGCAGACGAAGCCATTCCTGGCGAATTTCTTTACAGTTCTAATTTAAGGGCGCAGCAGTTTGATAAAGAAAAAGACCAGCAAAAGAGCACACACAAGCATTCAGGTGAAGGCGGTAACATATATAGTAGAAGAATAGGACAGCCATGACTTTTTTGCGTAAAATATGCTCTTTGCATTATTTAGATATCGCAATATCCGGCTCACAAGAAATGTGAGGCTGCGAGACTGCAAGGAAGCACACGATAAATTTTACCTCTTTGCAGTCCAATAAATCAATTGACCTGCACTGACTAAACACAATGCAGGTTTTCTTAGATTATTCTTATCCTGGCTATCTACAAAAGTCGTAGCACCTTTGTATTTTAAGAGTAAGTTGTCAATGTCAGTTCTTAGGGAAGATTTTCCTACTCTTATGTTTCTGTTAGAGAGAAAAATATAAAATAGCATTAGGGCCAGTGAGATAGCTCAGTGGATTAGCGCCTGCTCCGGCAAGTGCAGGGACTGGGGCTTGTTCCACATGCTGTGCCAGCCCTACCCCTGGGGAGCACTGAGCAGGCAACCCAGTCCTGGCCTGGGGGCACACGCTTTTAATCCCAGCACAGGTGAGGATGAAAACAGGAGGATAACTATGAGTCTCAGCTGTATAGTGACACCCTGTACCAAATGCATAAAAAAAAAAAAAAAAAAAAAAATACCAGCTAGGGAGATAGCTCAGAAGCTTTAAGTGCCTGCCTGGCAAATACAAGGTCCTGAGTTCGATCCCT